CTCTTATTTTGGTTTTGTCTTTTCTTTAGTCGTACAATTCCCTTTGTGCTAGTGTGGCTAGAGGAACACACCTTGCACAGGACAGTGCCACGAGAGAGGTTAGAACTCTCTTCTCTCCAGTTCCCTCTTTCATCTGGTAAATACATAGCTATGGGCATTTGTAGTACATTTAAACATTGGCTTTCATTTAACTTTAATTGTATGTGGAAAAATGCGAGGGTCACACTAATATATGCCTGATGATGATGATCTGACTGAATATATCTTCGTGATACACATCATGAATTGGTCAGTCAGTTTTGTGAACCAAGTGTTGCCTTTTGTTACGCTAGAGGATTCATTGTATGAATCAAGAGCTTGTGTAAAATTTCACTTTTTTACTTTTTACCAAACCCTACAAATCCATGCAAAAAAAACCCTATTCAGACAATGAATATGTAATTAATTCTTTAAGTATTTAGTCAGTCTTAGTGTAGAAAGGAAATGCTATTTTCTCCTTCAATTTTCAGATTAATATGTAAAGTTAGGACATACAATGACAAAATATAACACTACCCTTCCCTGTCATTTCTGTCTAGGGACCATGATCGTTGCAGCCTGTAAGTTCTATATTAATTGTTTGCTCTCTATCGAGGTGTACAACTCTCTCTTGAAGTCACAGGAAAAATGAGTGTCATAGAAGCATTTTTTTTTAAGAAGAGAGGTGTGTTTTTTTCAGGTGACTACCTGAAAGGAAATACCTTTTGCATGTTAGATGCTATTAAAGAACAGTACACTTTTGATGAAAAGTTGGTGGGGTTTTTTTGTGTTTTTTTGGTTGTTTTTTCTTGTTGTTGTTTTTTCAAATTTTGAGTATTGTATGTATGAATTTCAGTTGGATTCTAAACAGTGTCAGCACTCAGGCAGTCTGCTCTGTGTTTCTGCTTGCCTGTAATACAATTCTTACTTGGCAAATGATAAAGACATCCAGGCAAAGTGACAGTTGTCTAGGGGTCAGCATAACTATATTTTCTTTCTTTGGGTGTTTTTTTCCCTCTCCCGGTCTTTTATTTCTTGGCGTTTCACACACACACACACACACACACACACACACACACACACACACACACACACACACACACACACACACACACACACACACACACACACACACACACACACACACACACACAAAAAAGGAGTGGTCTTTTTAATCACTGCAGACTGTGTGGCTAGACAGGTGAAGGAGCTTAAGGTTTTCTGATCTTATTCTGCCAGATATTAAATAGTTACTTGACATGGCAAACTTTGTTCCTTCTCGCATGAGCGCAAATGGAAGAGGTCAAAGATTGTGCAGTACGAAAGCATACAAATATGTTTAGCACGAAACTACTTTATTAATAAGTTACAGGCCTGCAACATAGTTATGCTTTGATTTTTTTATTTTTTTTTTTGTCAGTAACGGGAGCATTCATACCACTCTCTTTAGGTACCTACTTGCATTCTCTGACTTGCATCTGAACTGGAAACCTACTGTAGTCAATGTGAAAACCTCTCTTCTAAGGATTTCTAAAATGTAGTGAAACATATATGAGCATGGACAAGTAATTTGCCTAGTGGTGCCAGTTTGAAGGAGATGAGGAAGATAAGGAAGGTGGAACGAAGGAGAGGGGCTGAGAAAATATTCTTCTTGTTGTAGATTTGATCCCGATGCGTTGCAACACAAGTTGTCCTGTGGCTGAGGCATATCTACCTGTCGTGGACACACGTGGCTTGCACTGAAGCTTTAGTTGCACGCCCGTGGCCCTATCGTAATGCCCGTGAGGGCTTCCCGTAGGAACCTGGTAAACCTGCTCTAAGAGACAGGCAGGCAGTAGGGAGTTGACTGTTGTGGAGGTGGCATAGAGAGATATGGACGGTGATGCTGAACGCTGATCTTCTGTACCTCGAGGGCATGCTGTAACTTGCTGCATGGCGAGTCCGGAGAGGTGAACTACCACCAGGTTGTGAGTCTGTTGCTTGTTTATGTTTTCCGTATGAGACTGACGAATTTGGACTGAATTAATAAATTTCAGAGTAGCTGCAATCATGTTTTCAAGAAGCTTGTACTTAAAGAATAAATATATTACTTAAGTTTACTCCTGAGTGATTTGCCTTAGCCACTTATTGCCAAGTAATTTACCTCAGAAGTCATACTTCCTTCTACCACCATGTATTGCAGATGCACAACAAACATATCTGTCTTATCCCAGGAGATCCATAATCTGTGGGAATTTGTAGTCACAAAAGCAAGAAGTGCACTTTTTCCTTTTGAATTTTTATTAGTATTTCACCTTTATAGATGCAAACCTTGCTTCAAAATAGTCTGCCTAGGGCCCTATGCACTCAATAAAGGACTGACTGATTTTTCTTTGTGTAGGTGATGGAGAATTTAATTATTGATAAATTCAGAGCTAAGGCATGTGTAATACTGGATTATGTTCTTTGTGTAAGATTAGAAATGATATTTTGTTTATTGATGTAGGTAAAAATTCTAAGTACTGTTTTCTTTTAAAGGGGTGTATAACTGCAGAGGGAAACATTTTTCTTCACATAGATGGCAGAGCAGCTCGCTCATGGTAGTATAGCACTGCATATGTACACACACAACAAATGCATGTGCACACAAATGTCGAGAAACGTATACTTATGGTTGTTTATAGCACAGTCTTATTTCTAATACTGTACACCTGTTTTTCCCTACTGTGTCTCCTCCTGTACATCCCAATAATAGGAAAAATAATGCCTTCATAGCTCTCTTTTTTTTTAAGTGATGTCCAAAATTGAACAGCAATTAAAAGGAGAATGATGAAATAATACAAATAGCTTAACTTAGCAGATTAATATAATTTCCCTCGTTCTTTCCCTTCCTAGTCATATTCTTTTATTTTCTCTGAACACCAATACCCAGACCATCTGGTTCTGGGAGCAGTGGCAACCCTTCAGGCTTGCAAAAAAGCTGGAGCTGTTCAGACTGGTACAGTAGCCACCTCTGGTAGATCCATCATTCTCAGGTGTTAAAATTCCCTTGCATATAATAAGATTTATTTATTTTCTCATTGTCAGAAATTTCCATATTGCGGGGGG